CATGCTGCTTCATCTTTTGAGGGGGAAATAATCAAATAGAGATGTTTCCAACCGACGTCAGAAACAAAGCTGCACGACGGTGAAACAATAAAAATAAATCACGATCTCTCGCATTAGTCCACACTTGGAGAAAATGTAGAGTTCAAATAAAGTATTAAATAGGCCGTTCTTCTCGGGTTCCTTCAGGACAAGATGCTTCCAGGCCACCTGAGAGATACCTGGAGTTGGAAGATGATGTTTCTGGTCCAGGTTCAGCTGAGGGGTCTGGATCCTTCTCTTGGTTTCAGATAGTTTAACTTTAAACCCAAACAGAGTGAAGTCACAGCTTTAAACCATGAACAACACAACCTCTCCAGCCCTCAGGGCAACAGCTCCAAACAGATATTTATTTCTTGTTATTTCATCATTTATTATTATTTTGATCATTTATTTTTGTTTGTTTGTCGTAGAAAGTGCAGATCAGCCCCTGTCACAGGTGTTCCCAACAACATAAATGTTTATATTCCACTTTATTCTCATTATAATCACGAATATGTGACATTTATGACTGTATCGTAATAAAGTTTTAAGAATTAATTTGAGAGCCAGGCCTTCACAGATCAATGGCTGCGGTGGTTTCCTCTCGGAACAGTTTTACAACAACCAGTGTCTGAAACATCGTGGGTTACTCATCGCAGAGGAGCAAACTCTGATGCCAAGGAAGAGTTTGTATTAATACTAATAATAAAGATAGAGCGCGAGGAGACGAGGAAAAGAAAGCAAAAGACGAAGCGTCATGAAGTTAAAGGCCGTCTGCTTCACCTCCGTCAGCTCCCTCAGAAAAACTCCGTCATGATTTTCCAGGAAGGAACTTCTCCAGGACTGACCGATGCTCCTCAACGTCACAGCACCTTCTAGAACAGGTGTCTGCAACCTGCGGCTCTGGAGCCACAGGTTGAACGCTCTGGTCCGTCTGCAGCGGCTCCTTCAAGCTTTGACCAAAACGGACATAAAACTGAATTTTACTGGTTACACAAACAACAAAAAACAATTTTCCTGTCATTTCTTTTGCAAATACTTACTTTAACATTGTGCTTTATTTCTATACTTAATTCTTTTTTTCACAATTAAAAAAAATAAAATAGGCCTGCATAGTTCATAGTTTAAAAAAAAAAAACTATTTCCTCCCTCTTTACAAGAATCTGGTCTTTTCATTTGTCTGAAATTGTAAAAATGTCAATAAATGTTAAAAATCATTAGATATTTTTAGCTTTATAATGTCGCCCCTGCTGGCCACAAAAGCCTCCTCCAACAACCTTAAAGTGGCCCATGGGCCACCAGTTGATAACCACAGTTGTAGCAGGTTGATGCGGCTCTGAACACATTTAATTGAGCGAATGAAGGTGTAAAAATGGCTCTTTCGATCATAAAGTTTGCAGACCCCGGTTCTAGAAGTTAAAGTTAGTCCTCAGCATCAAGAGTTGTGTAGCGGTTTGGCTCAAGATTCAGCTGGCAACACAACAAACCTTTTAAAACTTATCTGGAATCTGGAAATGTGTTGAATCTGACCCCCACCCCCCACCACCACCACCCACCCACACCCACAGGACTGAACGCAGCTGATGTACGTTTATTTGCTGACGATGCCGTCGTTTATCCAGCAGGACTTCCACTGATCACCAGTCGCTGCTGAGAATTATTCACATCTGACGCTTTGGAAAAATCTAATAAAATTTATGTTGATGATTTGTCTAAAATAATATACTGTTTATTTGATCTCAGCTGTTGTTTGTTTGTTGTAAACAGCTCCTTTGTTCTTACTAAGAAGTTTAAATTTAACTCAATGCTTATTTCTTAGGACGGTTCTTTTGAAGAAGAATAAAAATGAAAATGATGCTGTTTGTTGGAGCAGCTTCCAGCTCCAGATCTGAAGACTAAATCTGGGACGGTTTAGGACCGTCAGGTCTTCAGTCAGACCTGATTCTGGTCAGCGTTGGACTCTTACAGGCTTTTATTTTGGATTCTGTTGATAACCGTTATGGACCGGAGCAGCAGGAGACTGAAGGTTTCCAGTTTGGGGTTTATTTTTGTGGTTCTGTTGGTTGCATGGAGCAGAGACCGGGTCTGGTCAGGTCTTTTTTGGTTTGGACCTGATGGACATCAGAACTTCAGAGTCAGCGTTCTGGGTGTGGATTGTTGACCCGAGGGTTCGAGAGTTTGTTCATTCGTTTCCTGCATCTTTAGACAAAATGTGTTAAAACTTCAAGTTTCTGAGGCAAAAACTCAAAATCTGCATCATTTATGAACAAACAGGAAATAAAAGCACGACGGAAGTGTTACAGCTGACCTCAGCTTTTATTTTGAAATGACCACTGCTGATTGTGACACATTATTTATGAATATTAATGTTTTATAAACTCTTCAAGTTATTTCACTTCACCTACAAGTTGATGCAACAAATTTTAATCTCAATTCTAAATTTTGGGGTTTTATTTGTTTTGTTTTTGTTTGTTTTGTTTGTTTTAGTTGAACTTTTTTTTCAAGAAGCTGAGATGAGTTGAGTCAGCATCACTGGGGAAGCCTCTCGGTGGTTTGGGTGGGGGGGGGGGTGTCTGAGGTTCTGAGGGAGTCAGGTAGGAGACGAAAAGGGAATATCCAAACTTCGAAGAATTTTAGATTTGAAAACCAAAGAGTTTCAGTTTCTGTCTCTCCAGGATGAACAAGTATTTAAACCACAAGATGACAGCAGCAGAACCAGGATCAAGACCAGAGTCTTCAGAACCACCAGAGCACCAGAACCAGAGCCTTCAGAACCACCAGAGCACCAGAACCAGAACCAGGTCCAGAGCCTTCAGAACCAGCAGTTTGTGGAAGGTGAGTTTAATCAACCGAACGTTTCACTTTGATCTTCTTAAAACTTTATTGTCCATCGAAGGTTAACGACAGAAAATTAAACAAAACATTCAGAAACTGAAAACTTAAAATAAAAACCTTTTTTTATTTTGTTATTTATTATTATTGATTACTTTTAAATTGTTATTTTAACACTTTAATCCTGAATTCAGACGCTAAAGCAGAAATCGATCAGATCAATAGGTTTGAAACGTTTGTTTTGTTTATTTTTTTTTATCTTCTAATGTTGGATTTAAATGTTTTATTCAAAACAAAATCAGTTTTCAATAAAAATTAGATTATTGTTTATTACATTGATCATTAGTGATGTAATCAATCCAGCATTTATGTTGTTTTCCTCATTACAGGTGTTATTAATTGATTATTACTAATGTTATTGATCAGTTATAATTCATGTTACTGATCAATAATTAAAGATGCATGATCAATATTACTAATATTATTGAATCATTATTGTTATTGTAAATTATCAATGTTACTGATGTTATTCATTGATTATAACCAGGGTTATTGATCAGTTATTGCTGATGTTATTGATTAATTCTCCAGTTATTATATGGTTATTGCGGAGATTATTGATAGATTATTGATTTATGTCTGATGTAAATTATTATTTATTACTGGGGTTCTTAACTAATTTTTGTTGGTGTTATTGATCAATTATTAACAGTAATATTGATTAAACATTTCAGGCATTATTAATTGTTTGTTCTTGGTGTTACTGATTATTGCTGATGGTATTGCTGGAATATTACTGGTGTTATTTTTCAACCATTGCTGTTGTTGTCTTGATTATTGCTTGCTTATTGATCAGTTATTGATAGATCAGCTGGATACAGATCCAAGTCTTCAACGTTTGGTTTTTATATTTTCCTCCCAGTCTTCCAGACTCTCCTGTAATCTGTTAAGGTGGTCCAGATCAGCAGTTCTCTGGACCTTCTGAGGGTCTCGGTTCTCGTGTCCGTCTGTTGAATTTAGTTTCTGTTTTTCAGTTTCAGTGTTGGATTTTATCAACAATGAAAACTTCGTTCTGATCTCGCCACTAAAGCCGACACATTTATAGAGCTCCAGTTTAAATGGGCTTGGTGGTGATTAAAATTTTTTTATAAAAAGGGACCAAAATAATCTTTTTTTCATTCATTCATTCGTCAGTTCTGCATCACTTCAACGACTTCTGACCCAAACCCAGTGTTCGTATCGAAACAGGGCAGCGTGAAATGTGTGTTCGTTTGACGCTCGATCAGACGGAAACCTGATGATTAATAAAAGCTGAGTGTGCAGTCGGTCAGGGTCGCTTTGCGTCACAGCGGAGGTGGAAACATCTACCGTTAGCTCAGCTGGGCCTTGGAGGAGCTGCTGCAGCTTTAAGTTTCACTTCAGAAGAAGGCCTGAGGAGCTGATCGGTGACTCACTCCCATCTTCTCGCTTTCAGACCGTCTTCATCAGAAGCTCAGCTTTCCACTCAGTCCGTGCCACCTAATGGCGGCTGAAACTCTTTGTGCGGTCGCGGCGCTCTGACGAACATTTCCACTTCTGCGCCGATGCCTAGCCTTAGTGTTCGCCGACGTCACCATGGAAACACTCGTAGAGGGAATTGAACGCCCGATGGCAGCTGAGTGTCGCCGCCACGTAAAACCTCAAACTCAGAGCAGAACATGCTGCCGATGTTCACGGGTTGCACAGGTCAGACACTGTGATGTCACTTCCTGTTTCAGAACCACTGGATGGCGTTTGGTCCAGCTGCTGGCTCATACGTGTTATTATGGGACGTTGCAACAGTTTCTTTAAATTATTGTTAAAATCTGGTGATGTCTCTTCATTATTTAACCAGCAGCGTTTTAAAAAGGCCCATAAATAAAGTTTTTTTCTGATTTCGGGGGAACTTGTTTGAGCCTCTAGGGAGCCAAAAAAACCTGCAGTACCTCACCTGGTCCCGGTCCAGGTCATTGTGGCTTTCTGACTCACGTAATTAGTCAGGCTTGACATCTTGCCAAATTTCTGCCGTCTCTTTCAGGTTATTTAAACTCACCTGAGGCTGCCGGCTCACACAGAACTCAACTCAAGGCGGACTGGGACCAAGCTCAGAGTCCAGAACAAGATCCAGAACCATGAAACCATCTTCAGTCCTCTTGGTCTTCCTGCAGCTTTGCTGCTTCCAGACAATGCTGGTTTCCAGGCCAACATGCAAACTGTCAGGCTGGGTGGTCCAGAACACCCACAACCTGCTCCGGGATCTGGTGTGTCCCGAGTCAAACGCACAGTCTGTCCTTCCTCTTTGTGTTTTTGTTGATGAACAACTTCCTGTGCTGTAGGGGGAACCGTTTCCTGTCCAGTGTCGGCAGTACAACAGTAAGATCCTCTTCCCAGACTCCGCCCTCTCTGATGTCTCAGCCAATCACCGTCAGGTAAACCTCTGACCTCATCTTTCAGCCAATCACAGAGCGTGAGTGTCAGACTAACTCTCACTGACCTCATTATGATTGGTCACCTCTGACTAGTCAATGATGATGGATTGACTCTAATTAGTTTACGATGGTTGGTTGACTCTGACTGGTTGTCTCTGACTGGTTGATTCTGATTGGTTAACTCTGGTTGACTCTGACTGTTGTCTCTGACTGGTTAACTCTTATTGGTTAACTCCGACGAGTTGACTGAGACTCTGATTGGTTTTTGCAGTGTCGCTGGACGTCCTTGGTGGTCTACGAGTCTCTGCGAGGGGCGGAGCTTATGTTTACTGAGAATGAGTTACCTGAAGGAGAGGATGAACTTACATGGAACAAGCAGAAACTGGACAACTATCTGAACCTGCAGAACCGACTGGTGGAGGACCATCAGTGTGTGAGTACCAGAACCAAAACCAGTTGGCCTGGGATGGACAAGCACCACACTGAGATCCATTCCCTCATTAACAAATCTATTAAAGTGTTGTTGTGCTCTCTATCTGTCTGCAGCTGAACACCACAGAGGCCTCGGGGGTTTTAGCACCATACTTCAGTAACGTGACAGCTGTTGTTGAGCAGCAGGTAAACAAACAAACAACTGTTTGCCCCGGTTGTGTTTCAGACGTCATTGTTTTTTAAGTAAAGCAGAACACAAAAAAGTTTTAACATTTAAAATGTTAAATTGTTTCTGTTTAAAACTATTTTCTTTGTAAAAAATCTCTGATTAGATCATCTGAGTGTTTGAACCAATCAAGGCTAAGGGGGTGTGTCTTTCTGTGTTACAGGACAGCGCCTCCTGTGGGTGGGAGGCCCTGAGGAGGGATGTGCTCTGGGTCTTAAAGTTCACCCTGCGCAAACACCACAGCTGCTTCAACTGGACAAAAGCCCACTGAAGACCACGCCCCCTGCAGGCCACGCCCCTTGTCCTCACCAACCCGCGTTACGCCGTCCACAAATATTTTTACAAACTAAATGTTTTTATCTTCAGATAGATCTCTGTTTGTTCAGCGTGAAGACATTATTTATTTATTTATTTATTTAACTACTTAATTTATTTATTTATATGAAACTTTTTTATAGACACATCATTTTATATTTTATCTATGATAAAAATGTTTTATACCAAACTGCTGGAAAGAAAGTTTTTTTTGTTTGTTTGTTGTTTTGTTTTAATAAAGCATCATAAAAAAATTCTGATTGACTTTAACTGTACATGACAAACAAAGTAAACAGCCTTGAATCTGCTGGTAAACAACAACATCATCTGACTCTTACCCTCACCTTACCTATAAAATGCAATTCTAACAGCAGAAAGAAAGAAAAAAACTGAGTTTGGAAAATTATTATTGTATTTCTATTTTGTACATGTGCAAATTACAAGAAACTCATAACCATAACTAATAAATATTTACCAAAGGATGAGGAGGCTGAATGTTATCATCATAAGAATCAAAATCAAAAGAATCAACAGCTATAATAAAAATCCATTCATCCATTAAAATCAACAACACAAAATGATTAGGAATCAGGATTTGAGGGAAACTGGTTTTTGAGACGTAGTTTTTACAGAATTACTTAGAAATGATGGTTTACCAAATTAAGATAAAGCAATAATTAATCAGTTAAGGGTTCTTTCTCATTTATTTAAAAACTAAAGAAATCTTTGGACAGAAATTATTCGGGTTTTAGTCCGCACAGAAATTTAGAAGAGTTTAACTATTTGGAAGGCATAGTTTACTTTTGGGTGGAAGATTAGTTCGGTCAGACTGTCAGATTATTTTAGCAACACTGAAAGAAAAGATGTTCATCAAGTTGCATCATCCCTTACCGGATGGAGGCAAATCTTGTTCAGTCTTTCTGAGACTTTAAAGGCTGATCTGGCCTCCAGCACTTCACGCAGGGGACCGGTCAGGAACCCTTGGATCGTGCCAGTTACAACGAAGGTGATACCTATAAGGCGAGGCAGCTGCTGAGCAGTCGGCGTGCGACAGGCAGTCCCTCCGTTGGTTTATCTCAAAGCTGCAAAGTAAGTCTTGCAGTGAAAAAGGTTTTATCTTCTGTAATGGTTTTTAAACGCACGCCTCACGAGGCTGCACATCCAAGCTCGTTGTCCGGCCTCTGAGGATAGTTTTGGAATTCTCCGACGGTTAGACTTCTTAGCACGACAAGTTTCTTCTCTGTCCAAAGACTAGCAGCTTTCATCTGAGTACAAGAACTCTGCCCACCGGCGTCAGAAGCATTTGTAATGGTGGGGGGGACACACAGATGGGGGGGGGGGTGCTCCCCCAGTAATTTTTGAATAAAGAAGATGCCATTCTGATGTATTTTAACGGGTTATTAAACATCTACCTTTACTTACATAAACACTTGATTCAATAACTATTTTAGAGAGCAACAAGTAGTAGCCTGACCAACAGCTCTCCTTGTGTGAATAAAGCACACTCTGCTTCTCTCACAGATCCTAATCCCACCACGTTGAAAAGGGCTGGAACTAACGTAGTGCTAAGCTAGTGGCATGCAATACAGACACAATAGCTAAGACGCTACAGACATAGCACACTGCTTCTCTCACAGATCCTAACCCCCCCACCCTCGTCAACAACTACAAGCACTAGCACAAAACAGAGGTGTCTCCCCCTCTTCCCCCATGGGCGCCCTGCCAAGGCAGATGACCGAGGACAAACACTGCATGCGGTGTGGAGTTGTTGTAGGTAACCAGGAAAACCTGGAGTGGATTTTTAGTGGTTTGAGTATTCTCCTATTAATCAAGTGGAATGGATTAGTTCACGAAGAAATAGAAAGTGCTGGGTGAACTAACATTTCATGGTAAATGGGGGTTGGGGGGTTCCAAATTAATATTTTGTAAATGTTGGCGTCCCCTTCACATATAATTGTTGTGATGCCTATGACGCTGCCCTTCAAAACAAAATCGTTAAAGAAAGCACTTGGAACCGTTGCAATTAATCTTTATAATTTTTGTTTCCAAAGTTTCATATGATCAAATAAAACAAACTTCATTCATGAATTGTTTTAATCTTAATGAAATGTGTTGAGCATTTATCAATCTGCAGATGATGAGGTGTTTTAGGACAGTGGATGTGCAGAAAACATCCGGTCCAAAGGAACTTTTAGAAAATCGTCGCCAATGTTTGGACAGACGACCCCTGGTTCCAGTGTCCTGAGGAAGAGGGCGTCCTTCATGCTACACATGGCAACGAGAGGTTCAACTGACTGAATAACCCTAAGCAATCAACTCAGTAAACAGCATAAATAGGATTGTCACAAACAAACAGTCTGTAAATTAAAGCCTCATATCTCTGACATTCTTGTTTGTTTTTCTGTCAAGTCGGTGCAGAAACCTTCCTGCTGAGTCATCAGTAGTGTGTCTGTTATTGCTCATTAGTGAGCTCAGGTTAATCACCCTGCTGACAGAGAGGTTTTCATAAATCCTCACCTGTCTCAGGTGTGTCGGGGCACACAGTAACGTTTCTGACACAAAGTGAACAATCCTGCTGCTGCGCTGCATCAAAAACAGTTTAGTTCACAAAACACTTCAGGCTGGAACTTCAACAAGAACTGGCCAATATGGTGGCTGAAGTCAACCCACCACTGTTTCCAGAGTCATAACAGTTTGCACGGCGTAGTGATGACATATGGTTTGTACGACCACTTGGTTGCAGGACTTTAAAGCCTCAACAACAATAAACAAAACTAGAAAGTTCCTGGAGAAACTTTGACGGAGACTGCCTATTTATTATTAAAGTAGAATTAATAATAAATATTATTAATAATTAATAATATTAATATTTATTATTAATGTATCACTGATTTATTAATTATATAAACTATTAATATATTTGATAATAATATTGATATAAATAAGTAATATTAAATATAAATTATTAATATTAATAATTATCAATGTTATTAATTGTAATTATTAAAATGAATAATTAATAATTTATGTTAATTGTTTTACTAATTAATAATAGTAATAATAGGTGCCTTCAATGCATGCTGAACCAAAATGGCTCCCAACGTTGCTCAGATTCTTTGAAAAGTTTTCTCCTTTTCATTTCCTATGGAAATGTGTCATTTTTGTTAGCAAAATATGTTGCCATGGTAACGCCAATTGCCAATAAAATTAATAGCACACATCTCGGGGCCGGGCCGGTCGTTTGGATATAACTTTTGTGGAGGTCCACTTTGCGGTTTGGGTCGCATTAAAGTTGAAAAAGATAGGCTTTTCAGGTGTAGAATAATAAGTGGGCAGTCACCAACTAGTTCCTGGAGTTGGTGAAATATTGCGTGTTTGTTGCAAATTACGTCGCCATGGTAACTTGAAATGCCAATAAAATTAATAGCACACATCACGGGGCCGAGCCAGTCGTTTTGATATAACTTTTGTGTGGGTAGACATTGTGGTTCAGGCCGCATTAACGGAGATAGAAATGTAGACTCACTTCCAAGGTGTAGAATAATAGGTGCCTGCCATGCATCCAATTACTACAAAAGAGGAAATCAATAAAAAAAAATCCATCCATCCGTCATCTTTACCCGCTTCTTCTTTTTCAGGTCACGGAGGTCACTGGTGCCCATATCCAGCAGTCACTGAGTGAGAGGCAGTGGACACCCTGGAATGGTCTCCCGTCCATCACAGGGACACATAGAGACAAATGAGACAACCATTCACTCTCTCTCTCCCACCTAGGAACAATTTAGAGTTACCAATCAGCCCAACATGAATGTTTTTGGTCTGTGAGAGGTAACAGAGTACCTGGAGAAAACCCGCACAGCACAGAGAGAACATGTAAACTCCACCCAGAAAGGTCCCTGGACCGGGATTTGAACTGGGGCAACATGCTCACTGAGAGAAAGCAGCTCTACCAACCGTGCCACCATGTCAGCTAAACTAAATCCAGAGCAATAAAACTGGCAGCATGATGGATTAGTGGTTAGCACTGCTGCCTCACAGAAAAAAGGTCCTGGGTTCAATCCCTGGGCTGGACCTGGGTTCTATCTGTGTGGAGTTTGCATGTTCTCCTTCATGTTACCCTATACTCCCACTCCCTGAACATAGGAGGATCTGCGACGGAAGTAGTCTCCAGCTACAAGTACTTGGGTGTGCACCTGAATGACAACCTCAGCTGGGGCAACAACACCACCAGCCTGATCAAGAAAGCTCATCAGAGACTCTTCTTCCTCAGGCGGCTGAGACGAGCTGGTCTGGGAAGCTCAGTCCGCACCTCCTTCTACAGGTGTGCAGTGGAGAGCATCCTGTGCTCCAGCATCAACGTGTGGCATGGAGGCTGCACAGCTGCAGAAAGAAAAGCTTTGCAGAGAGTGGTGAAGGCTGCACAGAAGTCTGTTGGAGTCAGTCTCCCTACCATCACAGACATCTACACCTCCAGATGCAGGAAGAGGGCCACCTGCATCATGAAGGACCCCACTCACCAAAAGAGATCTGTGATCCCAGTGGGGTTTCCCTGCTTAAATAAATGTTAATAACTAAATAAAATAAAAATAGATCAATAAAATGAGTTAATTTGTTGTGTTTTCAGACTGGTCTAGGGGAGATCTTCATCACATATGTAATGTGTAGTGCTCAATTTTAACACAGCTGAGTTCTGTGCAGCGCCTCTTTTGATTCTTGAGAGCTCATGTTTTTGTGGGACGGCGTCAGATTCATTAGTGATTTTTGAACTGTCAGAGGCAGCTAACAGACCAACTGGTCTTTGTAGCATTACTTCTGTAAGAGTGCCTAAATAGTGGCAACAAGGTTCACCAACGAATCAACAAAAGACCAACCAGGGTCAAAACTGCAACGGGCCAAAAATGCTCGATGAACAGCAACAAAATTTATATTTTTTATTTTTATTGTCCAGTCTCAGCACGACTTGCTTTGCCCTTTTTCAACCAGACTCCTTTCTGCTCACTCTTGGTAGTTTTCTTACAACAGAGTGCTGCTTCATTATGAGCGGGTTGTCAGGCTGAGCCATCGCAAAACTTACCTACAGGTAAATACATAAAACAAAGCCAGAAAACACTCACCGTTCCCTGTAATGGTTTCTAAAAATGCTGCGGCTGAGTCGACGCTACCTTCTCTCTGCCGGCTGAAGCCTGTAAATCGAGTCCGTTTGTTCTACCCGTGTCTGAACTCTGTTGTCAGCCAACAGGTACGGAAACATCTGCACCTCCTCGTAGAACCACGGTGTCAGTTTACATGGTGCCATTTTAATGGACATCAAATATTTTAAAAAGTTAAAAAACGAAGGCTGTCGTTGAAATGTTTTAACAATGGTGGGCTTGATGCTTGTGAAGGAGACATTCTCATGATTGACACTCTCTGGCCAATCGATGTCCTGCAGTCAGCTGAAATCAAATCTTCCGCTCGACTCGGCTCACTTGGAACTGCAGCTGGGTAGCTTCTTATAAGCAACCTTAAAGCAGGTCCTTCCCAATGAAAGTACTCTGAACTTGCACCGGACCAAGTCAAGCCTATGGAAAGGGTCAGAACAGGCCCGCCGAGGTACTTTGTCCGGCTCTTCCATCCGTCCAAACAAGAACACTACAGAACACATCAGTAAGCTGCTGAGCCGTCTTCTGCAGGACCTTTGAATGGACTTCCTAAGACAGTTTCTGCTGGGATCTCCAAGGCTCTATTAGGTCAAAGTTTACTTTCACTTTCCACCATCCCATTCAGACTGTCAACAATGACTCTGCCGTGATTCAAGCGGCGCCTTCGGAGTTTTAAATGGAGCAGTTTTTATTCTGACACACAGTCTGAGTCAGAACATAACATCTCCATAAATACCAACGTGCTAAATCTGTCTCTCACAGTGGAATTTATTCATTTATTATTCCTGCTGTAACTCCAACAGGTACTAACAAGTCCAAGGAAAGGTGAGTAAACTTCACCTGCTTCAATAAATCCCTCTAGAGTTTTCCTGCAGCGACCGCAGTGTCACGGTTCTAACTCTGCTGTCAGGGTTTCCTCAGAGTTTAGCACAGAAACCGTAACATTCATTATTAATATTGAAGAAAACTGACAACACACGCGACTGCTTATGAATAATTATTGTTGTTTATTATCAGACAAATAGTTCACATTAATGCTACACCAACTGAAACATTACAGCACCATGTTCCACAGAAACAAACACGAGCTGGACCAGAACACGAACCAGCAGGTGGTGCTGGACCTCAGAGCTGACAGAGGATGGTCCACATTATGAAAAACTTCTTTACTACATTTTTCTGTTTTTATTTTAGCACTAAACAGAAACCTAAGCACCTAAAAGAAAAGGTTTTCTGTTGTAAGCTTGTTGGACATGTCAGGAAGTTCAGCAGCCAGGCTTTTATTGTGTAGGTTCTTTTTTTTATAGTTTTCTGTAAAAAGTGGTGGAAATAAAACAGCATAGCTAGTCATTAAATAGGATGATTTCTGAATTAATGTTGTAAAAAAAATCTCCTAATTTACATTTTATATAAAATCAAATCCTTAAAAATATAAAACTACTGATCTGACTTTCTAATTTAGTTCATGCCATGCTAATGAATGAAACGAACGAGATATTTGAAAACTTCCCTGCAGAGTTTAGACCCCACCTGTTTAAATTTTTACTATGGGCGGGGCTTTACTAGTATGTGGGCGGAGCCTCTGTAGGTTCCAGTTGTTCAGGATCGACATAGTCTTGGTTGAAGATGGCAATGTCAGCTCCCAGTTTAAACTTGTGCACAGCCAGCAGACACTGAAGCGCCTGCAGACAGAAAAACACCAGGTCACATATGTTCAAATAAACATGTTGAGGAGAACATGGGAAAGGAAGAGCATAGGGTCAGAAGGGAAAGCATGTCAGAGCGAACATGTAAAGAACTGTTAGTGTCAGAGAGAACACATGAAGAACATCAACAAAGTCCATGCTCAATAATCCAGGTATACAATCCAACATTTTTCAGTCAGGTCATCTGGACAGTTTCTTTTTATTTTGTGCTGAAACGTTTCGCCTTGGGTCCGGAAGGCTTCATCAGTCAAGGAAACACACAACAAAGCTGATTCTTCCCCCAACAGCTTACTCCAAAGTGGAACAAACCAGTTCTGCTTGTGATAAAAAAAGAAACTGTCCAGATGACCTGACTGAAAAATGTTGGCATGAAGAACATCATACATAAAAGATGTTAACACGTCAGAAAGAACC